AACCCTAATGTAAACCCTAATGTAAACCCTAATGTAAACCCTAATGTAAACCCTAATGTAAACCCTAACCCATTATTTAAATAATTAGGCTTACCAGCCCTAGTATTAGAACAAGAAGGTATAATATTAATAAGTAGAGGGAATAATAGGAATTATACAGATAAAAGAAGAACAGACCAGTAATAAAAAAATAAGAAAAAGATATATAAAAAAAAAGAAGCTAAGGAGGGGGGGGGGTAGTCTTTTTATATAATACTTTATATACTCTATACAATACTAGTAGCTAAGCCTAACCACACCCCCGGAACTGGTTGTATAAATGGTACAAAAAGATTTTATTTACTAAAAGATTACTATGTTTAATAAATAAAAGGGGAATATATAGGAAGAAGAGATTCTATTTATTAGGGGTTTACTATATTTACTGAATAAAAAGGGTTTGTATAGAAAAAAAAGCTATAATAAATAATACAGATCCTATTTATATATATACTACCTACTAACCAGCTATAATATTATCTGAAAGAGGCTGAAGCACAGAACTGTTACTTTAGATTCTAAACAGCTGTTTAAATAAATAGAAGCTGCAGACGACACTAAAAAAAAAGAAAGGGGCTTTTATTATAAAACTAAGGCCTTATTATAGAGCTTAGCTTTAAATACTAGTTAGTACCTAAGACCTTATATACTAAGTATTAAACTAGCACTAGCTTAGCGTATATATAAAAGAATTTTGTACAAACAGATAAAATAGCTCCTCAGCTATTTCTTTTTGTTTAAAGGCACATTTCGATTAGCATAATCCATCCATCCCGTAACAAAACCCGACCTGTGGCAAGGCCTATTGGGGGTAGGCCAGATCACGTGACTACACGGGACGACCAACAGCATATGAGTGTTATGTACATACTGACTAAGGTAAATAGTGAACATTATGTTGTAAACCCTGACTAAGTTACTAGGGTGGACCCCGCTGTGGCTTGGAACTATTGATTGCTAGGGCAGCCGCCATACCAACTGCGGAGGTAGTTAACTCTTTGTGTCGAATAAATACCAAAGATACCCGAACTACAAACATACCCAATAATACAGTACGTCGCGCGGAGCAATCGGTATTTGACAAGAAAAGTCTCAACCTCTGCCCACCGCAAGATCAAATCTTCTGAAGTAAACAACGACGGACCTCCTGTTGTATCGGTTGCAGGTAAGTTACATTGTTCTTGTCGGAAATTCTAGTTCATGTTCCCAAGAGCTGTGGAGGTGGTCAAGTTCTAGCCAACGGCTTCGGCCGGAAAGACAGTTAGGCACCTGCCAGCTGGCCAAGCACCGCATACTTCAACGGTTCGAATTTTCCCCGAAACGTATGTGATAAACACACGCTACTGGAACCAATCGGTTGGGCCGAGCTGAATACGGCGAGTGGATCGGTGAAGTTTACGGTGAGGAAATCAGCCAGCCACAATCGCCAGCACAGCACAACAGAGCAGTTCGTGCTGTCTGGTTTAAGGTTAGCACGACCCCACTGCTGTCAGCCATGCCTCGCTTATGCCGCCAGCGAGATCTAGACTGGGCCGTCAACTCCGATGCATTGATATCGGAGCAGCCAGCGGGCTGCCACTCGCGTGTTTTTAACTCTCACACTCCCCCCAACTTGGGTTTCTTCCTCTTGTTGTTTCTGTTTCTGTTCGTTCCCAGCTAGGATCAAGTGATTGCTATTTGCACTTCTAAACCGAGGCACATTTTCGTTCACCTAAACAACCACATCCAGTATGGAGGGGGCTCCTGCCAAGATGACCGGGTATACTCCCCTTGAGGTCGATCTTCCCCCGGTACCTACGACGCAGGTTCTTACCGATCTCCATTGGGAGACCATGCTGGCCCTCGCCGACACGGTGATCCCGTCGATCCGGGGTCGTGGCGATGATGCGGATGTCTCGTCGACGGAGTACCACGCCGTCACCGAGTCCCAGTTAGAATCGGCTACCTCCAGACTCACAGCCACGATCAGTCGAACAACCTCCCAAGCAGCCGAGCTAGCGCAGATTTATCTGCACGAGAGTCCCTCGTCTCTGCCGGCATTCCGGGAGGGCCTCCAGCGCCTGATTGCCGACTACGTCCATCAGGAAGGCCAGACCGGGCTGCGATTCATCCTCGATGTTCTGAAGTAGGTGGATGGAGAATCGATGCATGCATGCACATGGGCTAACGATCAGTCGGGGCTGGCCAGCACCCGAGCCGGATCCCTTCTTCTGACCGGGTCGACAACTCCCATCCAGCACCAACCCCTAGCAGTGCGCGAGCGGGTTTTCGCCGGATGGGCCTCGTCGCGATTAAGCCCCATCCGCCTCATCTACCGGTCGCTATCCGCCATGTTCAAGACCACCTGGATGGTGGCGAGTCCGACCCTATCTACCGCCGTGGGGTTCCCCCGAATCCCCGTACATGGAAAGTCTGCGCCGGGTTGCTGGGAGTACGAATTCGTGCAATTTCCTCCGAGCGACCATGACGAGGAGAACGAGGAGGAGCAACCGGAAGTCCTCGAGACGGACGTGGTAATTATTGGCAGTGGCTGCGGCGGTGCGGTGGCGGCGAAGAACCTGGCCGAAGCCGGGCACCGCGTGCTGGTGGTGGAGAAGTCGTATTACTACCCCTCGCAGTACTTCCCCATGGATGGTCGGACCGCCCCGGTGAGTCTGTTTGAGGGCGGGGCGTCGATTCTCACGGATGATGCCTCAGTGGCCATCTTTGCTGGATCAACCTGGGGTGGCGGGGGCACCGTCAACTGGTCGGCGGCACTGCAGACGCAGGCCTTCGTCCGCCAGGAGTGGGCCGACGACGGGGCCTTGCCCTTATTCACCTCCGCTGCCTTTCAAAATTCGCTGGATCGCGTCGCGGCTCGCATGGGCGTCAGCGCGGCGCACATTCAGCACAATCGTCAGAACCGCGATCTCCTGGAGGGGGCACGCAAACTCGGCTATGCGGCCGAGGTGGTGCCGCAGAACACTGGCGGCGAGGACCACTACTGTGGGTATTGTACCATGGGATGCTCCGCCGCAGCCAAGAAGGGTCCCACAGAGACCTGGCTGGCGGATGCGGCAAAGGCTGGGGCGGTCTTTGTCGAAGGCTTTAAGGCAGACAAAGTCACTTTCACAACGCGGGGCCGAGAGCAAATTGCCACCGGAGTGGAGGGGACCTGGACCTCCCGCGAGGCGTATCTGTCCCGGGGCCAGAAGGGGAAGGGGATCACACGAAAGGTGGTCATCAAGGCGAAGAAAGTGATCATCTCTTGCGGTACACTGAACAGCCCTCTGCTGCTTCTCCGCAGTGGGTTACAAAATTGGCATATCGGCCGGAATCTTCATATCCATCCAGGTAAGCCACTTCGTCCGTCCCGTCAGGCCACCACGACCTAACAACTCATGCTCCTGATCGGTAGTCCTCTTCGGTGCGGCCGTGTTTGACGAGGAGATCCGACCCTGGGAGGGCTCGGCCCTGACGGCAGTCGTCAAAGAGTTTGAGAATCTCGATGGCCGGGGCCACGGGGCAAAGATTGAAACCACGGTTACCATGCCGCCTCTCTTCCTGCCCATCTTCCCCTGGCGGAGTGGCCTCGAGTACAAACTCTTCTGTGCCAAGCTGAGCGCCATGACTAGCTACATTGCCGTCACTCGGGACCGTGATTCCGGCCGCGTCTATCCCGACCCCGTCGATGGACGAATCCGCGTGGCCTACACCCCCTCCGCCTTTGATCGGAAGAGTGCTGTAGAAGCAATGATTGCCAGTGCCAAGATTGCCTATGTCTCGGGCGCCAAGGAGTTCCACGTCTCGTACGCGGATATGCCTCCCTTCCGTCGATCGGAACAGGAGACGAATGAGTCCGAGGACGCGGGGATCAACAATCCGGAGCTTCAGAAATGGATCAGGCAGTTCCGCCAACAATCCCCTCTAGACATTGAGAAGGCCGGTTATGCCAGTGCTCATCAGATGGGAACCTGTCGCATGGCCAGCACGGCGAGTAAGGGAGTGGTGGGTCCAGAATGCCAGGTCTGGGGCACGCAGGGGCTTTATGTCATGGATGCATCGATCTTCCCCAGTGCGAGCGGCGTGAATCCCATGGTCACAAACATGGCTATCGCAGACTGGGCCAGTCGAAATCTGTCGGAGAAGATAAGAACAGAGGAGCAGCTGTAAGCTGCAGGCGGCGCGGACGCACTATGACCAAGTAGGCGTGGGGCCCAGCCTTGGGTTCGGTTGGTCCGAAGAGCCTGTCTCATCCACTTATGGAAGATCCCTAGATGCTCGCAACTCCCTGGCCAACATGCCCCTATAGTCGAGGTCTACTTCCGCATTCGGTCTGTTTCCGCATGCATCTCCCGCGGCTTTCTGTCACCCAAGCTTTAAAACAACTGATAATGTTTTGCAGTCTATCGACGTATTCTGACAATGCTTGAAGTTGGGTCTTCCCATATACTCGTACTGATTTCATTCTCTAAAAGAGCTTAAGGCAATCCGTATGTTCCAGCTGTGGAAAACCACCAAGGTAGGATTCAATCATATATTCTGGTTATCTGGCCTGCGGGTGAGAATTACTCCTATAACGAGAGCAATGACGCCTGGAAAACATCACGCTCACCAGATTGACCGAGTTACCGACGCGCATGCGCCCACCAAAGATATGCGTCTTGCTTGCCAGCGTATCCTGTTGCCCAAGAGCTTAATCTGACCCATTGGATGTTAATACCCGAGCAGCCGGCGGACTCGTCGCGTGTGCAATGTGTCGTTGCAGCATGAGGAGATATTGCGTATCGGACCGGGACAAATGGGTCATGTCCTGGATATACCAGAGAGGAGCGTATGGCTCTAGTCCGTACCAAAGACGGTACCGTAGATTACTGTCTGTACTGTTGATGCCTTTTAGTTTCTGGACGGAACTTGTATTGCGCGTCATGTAGGATGGAGTGACGATCCAGTACTCCGGGGACAGCTGACTGTAGTCGGGGATAGACGACCGCATCTGCATAGAAGGGCTTGCTCTGGAGCAGACAAATAGCCTCGCCATACCTTTATAGTCACGCAGGGACCCAATTAACCTGCTCCATTTGCGGTCCCGGCAGGGGTTGTCAAACAATGATTCAACGCACGCGTCCCCGTCTCCAGGAACACATGAAAATGACGTGGTTGACTATTACGCTTCATTCAAACCTGCCTTGGCATTTCCCGCAGCAGCCGACCCGGAGAGTGTGGAAGTTTAAAACCCTCAAACTGGCTGCAAAGCCAACCAAGTGCTATCCGAAACCATCGGCACAGACTTGAAGTCTAGAACAGATTGGTACGATCGCTGCCAAGAAACGATTAGGTCTCTCCCCAGAGAGCCGAAGACTTGACATCATATTGACTATAGTAGAATAGACGACACGAACGGCAATGAAGAACATGGGCAATACGTGGCGCGGTTGCGAATCTCCCGAGCCTCTTACAGAGCCAGCACAAGACCGAGGAACCCGCCCGCACCGCCAATGCCCATCGCCAAATTTCTCGTCGCAACAGCTGCACCCCCGGTGGAGATAGAAGTCTCCGATAAGTCTCCGATAGAGTGCGCCGCACGGTCGAAGTCTCGGATGAGGCCGAGGACGAGGCTAAGGTGGAGCTCGGGAACCACCCCGTGGCCATGGCGCTTTCGGAGGAAAGTAGGGAGGTGTACATCGCTTCCTCGTTGGACAGGATGGCTTTGGCGGCAGTGGGCAGGTTCGAATACCAGGCGGGCATATTCCCCGATCTCTCCGCAATGACCTCCGATCAGAAGAATGCTGGGTCGGTCTTCATTCTCTCCCACCAACTAGTTGGGACGGCAGTGTCGAGAACCGAAAGCAGTCCCGTAGGGTGGATATCGACAGTGCTCGTCTTTGGCCCAGGAGGGGGAATGCTGTATGTTTCGGCCGGAACAGTTTTCGTTTCCCCAGTGACAATGCCGGTCCCCGTTGCGACTTCGACGGCGGTCTCTGTCACAGTTACAGGGGTAGCCAGGTGAGTTGGATCGGCGAGCGCAGTCGGGACGTTGAGGGCGGCCACGAGGGGCCAGGAAGCAGACGTACATGGTTGACCTCGCAAGAAAATGAACCACAGAACGTTTATGTATGGACAGCTTTTTGTTTTGACAGATAACCTAGTGCATGGCTAAGCAACATGGGGATGGCCAAGCGAAGTGCAAAGTCTCGAAGGGAGGGGTCCGGGAGCCGGCTCGTGGCTGCACAGCCCCCGTCCAGTTGTCATCCCACCACCCTCCCGAGACCTGAGTGGTGATGCAGGTTGCTCGGACTACTATTTAAAGAAGGCTTAGCATACATAACGGAAAATCGTGCACACGGAGAGTGCTCATCTTAGCTCTATTTGATCCGCAACGAATGCATTGGCCACTGCATCCTTGATGTTTACGCGGTCTGCGACACGTACTGTAAGGTACGCTAGAAAAGAAAACTGCAAGGTATCAACGCTTGTCTTCATACCATCTATGCTAGGTCTGACTACAGGAGTGTCAATTCTAACATAATGAAGAAACTGAATATATTATCTACAATAATCCTCTCGACACCTGCCCCAGTGCCTGTGCAGACCTGACGCATAATCTTACTTCAGACTCTCGTTGGTCATCGTTTTACTCTTCAACTTGCCCAGGCGGAAAACCGGCCATGCTATAAGGTCCTGCTAGTGGTCAAATCTTCTCCCCAGCATATGGGGGCAGATCCCACCGACCAGAGTCGGGAACTATAGAGACACTTACCCAGACCGTGCGAAAGGCAAAACAATCGACAAACGTCGAAGTGTTTCCAACCCAGTACCATGCGGGTGGGCATTTTCGCAATGATTGCTGTAGCACCGACTGGGAATACACCACCCGATCCGTAGTATCTGTTAAATTGGGCACGTGGCACGTGGTCAGTATGGTAGAAAAGGCCCGGTGGAATAGATGATGTATACTCGGTACACGCTGTACGTGGGCGCGGAATTCTTTCTGGAGGGGGGTGTGGAAGGACTCTATGGATGACGAGGCCGGAGTCCCACCGACCGACCCTATGTTCACCACACATCCTTTGGCTCGAATCAGCCAGGAATGAAAGGTATGGACCATGCGATTGGGTCCAAAGACATTGACGTCGAACATCTGTTGCACCTGGCTCACATCGGTGTCGATGGCAGTCATGGTATAGCCTGCGTCCATGAGTACGGCCTCCACAAAGCGTAGATTTAAATCTCGCTCACATATCCCGCTATGTGATGTCAGAGCTCAGAGTTGAGAGATCAACCAACAACCCGGGATTATATCGCGTACGCATTGTTAACTAGAATGTCTAGTCGGTCGTCCGATCCTGGTCTCGACCGCTTTGCACAAGCCACGCACCGAGTCATCCTTGATCACGTTAACTGAAAGCACTCGATGCCAACGAAGGTAAGATGGTCGTCAGATTCTGACGGTAGAACGGTGGCAAGTACGGTGCAACCGCGGGCCTGCTAATGGAGCGCCAATGCCTCGCCAATGCCTCCCTTCCCGCAACTAGCGATGATGGAGGGTTAGCACAGGAAGAACAGAAACGAAAACAATATGATTTACCCGGTAATGAGGACGGTCGCCATAATGACTGACCGACTGCAGTGTGGCCGATGACTGATGGGGAGACGGGGTGAGGTAAAGCATCGATCTGATTGACGCCAGCGCCGATGGCTATGGCCGTGCTGAGCGTGTTAGCGCTTTGTACATCAAACGCTTGTCGGCTGCCCTGCGAGACGGCAATCCCATCCGTGTATCCATCTCACCGCCTGTCGTTCCTGCCGATTTCCCCAAATGGACCTGGGTGTTACCCCAGTCACATGACGTGACAATGCGGAGGGTGGCGTCAGAGAAAGAACTCCTTTGATGCCGAGAGATCCTTGGGATTTGGCTGGGCTTGGGATTCAGTCCATGAGTCGGATGGTCGGATAGTCAGAGACTACGTCCACTAAACTAATAAGTAGAACAGAACGGCACCTTCGGTTCCATCGGGGAACTGCTTCAAAAATTCGAGCCAGCCAATCATCGGCTGGAACGGCACCGTCGATTCTGGACTCCACCGATGCAGGAGATCTTCGGGTACGTCCACTTACTCCTGATTCATGACCCATCCATGCGCAAACAACCGCTTTGCCCACACCCTGACATGTACCCCGAGGATCCTCAACTGATGTTTGGCTTGGTTTGGAGTGGGCTGGGGTGGCCTGAGTGGCAGCTATATAATGGGTGAACAGCACACACCTGCCGGCTGCTCTTTTCGCACGGTACCATTCACATCTTGGACATCCCTACCTACTTTCCCTTCCATCCTTCGGCTGATCACAATGGTGTTCTACAATACTTATCCTGGTTTCCTGTATCGCCAGTTCCTAGTCTGCCCCGCCAAAGCTCCGTCTTCCACTTCCCTTCGCGGCAAAGCGGGCATTGTCACGGGCTCCAATACTGGACTGGGCTACCATGCTTCAGCTCAGTTGCTGGGCCTTGGGTTATCGCATCTGATCCTGGCAGTCCGCAGCAGCTCCAAGGGCGAAGCCGCCCGCAAATCCCTCCTGGCATCGCTGCCCGCCTCTGCCAAAGCCCCCGTGGTCGAGGTGTGGGAGCTGGATCTCGGCAGCTATGCCAGTGTGCTCTCCTTTGTCGAACGCCTGAAACAGTCGGGGCTGCACATCGACTTTGCCCTTTTGAATGCAGGAGTGGCCAATTTCAACTTTACGGTGAACCAGGCGACCTCACACGAGACCAGTATTCAGGTCAATTGGCTCAGTACAGCACTGTTGACCTTGCAGCTGCTCCCGATCCTCGACAACCAGGCCGCTCAGAATCTGAACCGCCCTCGCCCGGTGATCTCGATCGTGGGCAGCGAAACCGCCGCCTGGGCCAAATTCAAGGAGGCCCAGATCGCCCGGAGTCAGCGATGTTCTCTGATCCAGGTCTTGGATGACCCCAAGCACTTCAACATGGGCGATCGATACTATACTTCGAAGCTGCTCTACCAGCTGTTCTTCCTAGAGCTGTTCCAACATCGATCCACCGGCAAACGCTCCACGGGGGCCATTCTCAACTTGGTGAACCCCGGCTTCTGCTATGGCTCAGAACTGCATCGCACGGCTGAAGGCGCATTTGGCAAGATTTTGGGGGGAATGAAGAGGGTGATCGGTCGATCGGTGTCGATGGGGGCTCGAACTCTGGTTCATTCTGCGGTGTTGGCCGGGGAGCCCTCTAATGGCCGTTACCTGAGTGACAACAAGGCGGCTCCTTTTGCAGGCTACGGGGATAGTGACGCGGGGCGATTCACTCAGGACCAGGTCTGGGATGAGACGATCTTGGAGCTGAAGCAAATTGTGGACCTGAATGAGCTAGTGTCGCAGATTTGATCCTATTTGCTGTTGTTGTTGGTGGTGGTGTTGTTTTCCTCTTTCTTTCCTCTTCTCATTTCTTTGCCGGTTTATCTAGCAGTCACTCAGTGTTAGGGTTGCAGTAAATCAAGTGATGATGCACGGAGTACTCTGTAGTCAGCTAACTTACTGGGAGAACGAGTCAGGGGGCTGACTACGGCGGACGATTGCAGCCATCGGGCAAATAAGTTTTTGCTTAGTGTTTTGCCGGCAGAATTAATTCATCTTCTAAATAAACTATTTAAGTAACTATTTATATATATATAAAACTTTTTAATTTACTTAGCTTTATTTTACACCAATTAGTTTTAAGTACTATAGAAACTATAAGTCTTATCTAGGTTATTATATACAGATATTTTATACAGCTAAGATGTATAAAAAGATATTAAAAGATTGAATATACTGTAATTAATTTTAGTAATATTATTTAAAATAGTAATTACAAGCCTTAGTAATTCTTACTATGTTTAAAGGTAGTTTCTAAAGACTTTCTTACAAGGCTGTTTAAAACCTTTCTTATATGGCTGTTTAAGGCCTTTTTTAAACGGCTGTTCAAGGCCTTCCTCACGCAGCCGAGCAGTTTGCAGGGCAGTTTGCAGAGCTGTTTGCAGAGCAGTTTGCAGAGCAGTTCGCAGGGCACTTTGCAGGGCACTTTGCAGGCAGTTCAAGGCCTTCTTTGTATATATATATAAAAAGAAAAAAGCTTTGTATAGTTCTTATTTGGAAAGCGGTAAGGCCTGCGGTGAAGAGACTCAGCAGATGAAATCTATTTGCCCGATGGCCGCAATAGTCCGCCGTAGACTAACCCTCATCCCTGTCAGATTGGTTCGTTCACCTCTGCTCTCGCCTCTTTCCGATGAATCTCAATCAACTTCCTCCACCCTCCACCCTCCACCCCCATCCTTAGCTGCCATCCAACTGCGGTTCTATTCTCATCCATCCCATCCACCCCCATGATGGAGGAAGAACTCGCATCTCCGGAGGAGCTGACCACCCCTTCTCAACTATTGAGTTATTTGTCCACATACCGAGTGCTGATCTGTCTCAGATGCCGCTACGCCATTCAGCCCGGCGCAATTGCGCGTCATCTCAAAGAAATCCATTATCTCCATCGTGCAACGCGGCGGACCTTTGTCGCCTTTGCTTCGGAGTTGGAGTTAGCCCAGCCACATGATGTAGTCTTGCCAGAGGAAAGCCAGTTTCCGGTTCCCTTCCTACCCATACAAGAAGGACTTGCGTGCTGTTTTGAGCGCTGTGGCTATCTTTGCGCCACCAGCAAACGCATGAAGCAACACTGGCGATGCACCCATCAGATTACCACCTCGGATGAGAGTCCACTCTCGACTCCAGTCCCACTACAGACCTTTTTCCGAGGCAATGCCCTGCGATACTTCACCAATCCGTCCTTGCTAGGGGCGTCCCCAGCTTGCACGCCGGATAGCGCCGACAAATCCAGCAAGGTTGGTCGATCCAATACGGTCGGTTCTCAACCCTTTTACCGTTAATCTTCCCCCGGTATCCTGGTCTGCCGACGCTGACCATGACTTTCTTTGCCTGTAGCCCTGTACTACCCCAAAGACAAGTACAACATACCCGGAAAACCGGCTCCTACCGTTGGACCAGCATTCATCGTTGATCATAACTGACCAAGGTCTGCTCGACCATTATCGGGATTCAACCTACAAAACCCTCTCCGGTAACCCAGAGACCGACCAAGCATTTGGAGAGGTTGTTCTGGGACTGACCGCCCGGTTTGACTTCTTGAGGCAGGGGGTCATGGCGTGTGCGGCCTTGCACCTGGCCTCCATTCACCCGGCTAATCGCACCCATTATGTCTTTCAATCCATCCGACACCAGGACCAAGCCATTCCCGCTTTTCGTCAGGCTATCTTACACGTCGATCGCGACAACTGCGAGGCAGTCCTGGCCTTTGCGTTTTTTCTTGTCATTAGCTCCCTCAACTCCGACACCGAGGACCCGCGCCTGTTCCTGAGCGCTGACCCCGACCAACATCTGCACTGGATCAACATCCTGCGCAACGGCTGCTCCATGCTCTGCCCGTTCTGGAACGAGCTTACAGCGGGGCCCCTCGCGCCCTTGGCCGCCCTTTGGGAGGATGACCTCGGCGTCGGCGGTCCCTCCGTCGAAGCCGCCGAAGGCTCGCTGCTGGGGGCCCTGCTCGCCAGGGTGTTCGCTGAGACGCCGAACCATGGGTTTGCTGGCGAGCACGAGGCCTACCGGGCCGCCGCTGTCCAGCTTGCCGCCGCCGAGGCTTTTCTCCGCCGCCGAGGCCCCGCCGCCACCGTCTGGGATGCGCTCAACGCGTGGCCGATGCGCCTGGCTCCCGCCTACCTGGAGCTACTCAAGCAGGATCGCCCCGGCGCGCTCCTGCTTTTGGCATACTACGCGACCTTGCTGCGCCCCACTCGCGGTGAATGGTTTCTCGCGGGGCGGGTGGAGAGGCTCATCGACGAAATTGCCCGTCGCTTGGAAGACACGTACTGCTCAGCCCAATCATGGGACTTCTTTCTGGGGATCAGGGGGGAATACTTTCCGGAAGAAACGCTGGCAAACCAGCAGGATGACCTACGGCGGTGACGGCGTACCGAACTACACTGTAATATTCCACCATGCATCCCATCATGCAGAAGGTCGGGGCAGGGTTCAACGACCTCAAACACTTGAATATTTCAGCTACACCTGACGTTATGGCTAGAAAGCTGATACGCTCCTTGGGAGGACATTTGGCTTGGCCCGGTAACTTGACAGTAAGAGTAGGGGGAATAGGAGTATGACGTGGTGCACGCGGCACACGCGACACCTGCGGCATATTAATTACTGTGACTCTCTTCAGCCCTACCTTCGCCTCCCCCTCTTCCGCACATATGCAATACAGCAGCCCGATGGCTGATATTGATATACACTCAGTATCTGCTCCTTCAACCTCACGTTGTCGACGACTTTGCCCTTACAGCCCTGGAGACTTCAACGCGACCAGCGGGTTTGACGATCCTCATATTTACACCTACGTCGGCTATGCCCACAGAACAGAGGGACTGGACCTGATGTATGGATCCGAGAAGTTGTCGCGCTTGTTGGCACTGAAAAAAGAAATGGGATTCCCAGGGCTTCCTCAGCTGCAACAACGGATTGCTGCACCAAATGATTCGCACGGCCATGACCAACCTCCCACATGTGCCGATGGGATATCGTGATCAAGAATGGAGCGGAGGGATGCGAGGTGCAAAAGTCTCATTAATAGTCCTTGATCCCCTACTTTCAATCACTGCAGCTTTCGACTGTGGCCATAGCTCAATGTAATTTCTTCAAAAGTCCATTATAGCTGTAGCAAGCGGCAAACAGTAACTAGTATTACTTACCAAGCCGTGTCAGCTAGGTCCGGGTGCTTGAAAATTCCACCAGCTCTCGTGCCAGTTGCGCCAGGTCAACTCATTCTCAACCTCCCGCACGATGTCCAATGGTTGTGCCATGGGCCGTGCTATCTCCATCTCCGTGACCAGACCAGACTGCGTGCTGGGTGCAACCTGATGTTGAAGTTGAAAGGGAATCCCGAACGCATCATCCAGTGCCTCCTTTGTCTGAAGCGGCATCATGAAGGCGAGGTTCTGGAGAGCCTCGGGCGGCGGCAAGTCTGCAACAGTCGACGAACAGGCTTCTTGTTCGTTGGGCCACACAAGTAATTGATTGTCCGGTGGCCTGTCTGCGGAGTTGATGGTAAAAGCGGACTTCTTTTGTCTCGAGTGAAATGCCCGGCAGACATCGTTCAGGGCACTCACGGCGTCGGCGATTGGGGCGAAGTCGGGGCGGATGGCGGCTGCCGCGGCCATCATGTTTACCACCCTGTCGAGCGTGCGGAGGTCATTTTCGTACTCACTAGGTTAAGTGGAAGACAGGATGTGGTAATACAGGGTGAAGAAGGCCCCGAAGGGATAGAATGTCAGAAAGCTTCGTTGGGTCAGCGGTGAATGTCCAGCCAGAAGAAAGGCCAGGGATGCAAACTGACTGTGTCTGAAAGTCATCCTGTTTCCCCCAGGGCGGGATTGGAGATTCCGACTTCTCGAGGATAATGCTGATGATAAGTCTAGCGGAACGAACTGCTTGTGGATGCACAATCTGCTCCGCGCTTGACATCTTCCGCCTCACGAAGATGATGAAAAGATGCAAGGCGATGGCCGTCTCGAGAAAGAGCCAAGATTTCACCCAGCCCAGGCTGGGCGATCTGGCTAGTGATAAGAGGTCCCAGTCACTGACCAGCATTTCTAGCTCCATGCAGCATGTATCCGCCGTGCTATTGAGATGGTTACTGGCCGTACTGGACTCGAATTGATCGATGAAGTTGGCCATGATGAACAGGGTTCGAGACCAGACCAGGAACAGGATGCATTTGTGGGGCTTGGGCTGCTTGGTTTGCGGTGATATCTCCGCTGGCAGTCGGACCTGGCCGATGGGACACCCCAGAGCCGTGGGCTTGTCGTACCAGATTCTGAAGAGAAGGTCCATTTCCACCAGATACCAGTGCATTCGGAGTTTGACATCCTTTTCGATTTCGTCTTGCGCAGTGCCCGTCGGGAGTGAATCTACATCGTGGATGCCTAGTAGGTCCCCGAAGCGACAAGCCTCGTGGTGGAACTGCCATGACAAATGGTAGTCAAAGTTGTTGATTCCCATCCATGCCTGAACCACGTGTCAATTATGACTTGGGTACATTTGCACGAATTTCACTCACCGTTAGGGAAGCAGCAATAAGGTCCAGGTGCGAGCCTTGGGACGAGGCTAGCCACTTCGGAACGACTTGGAGGCATCGATAGTATGTTTTCGCTGCTGCTCTTTGTTCTGCACCTGTGCCAGCAGTTTGCCCAAAATATATCGCGTTGAAGTAGATAACCTGCATGGCTGGCTCAATCATGGCATACGGTGAACCAATAACATGGGGAATGGCTCCCAAGAATTCGGAATCCACCAGGGTTGCAAAGGAGTCGAATATGCTTAGGTTGGGAAGAATGACTTCGAGGAATACTATCGCTTTGGTCAGTCTGGGAAACGATAGGAGCCGTGTTGGAAATTAACTTCACCATCTATGAATCGCTTGATGTCGCTGACTGGCAAGCGATTTATCGGTTCATCGCGGACATTGTGATCGGGTCTAGGGCTTGGGGCAGCCAAATTGACCAGAGCTGTGTCCAGCCGGGTGATCGCATTGTCGACAGTGGACCGCGTCCAGGACGCTAAAGCGTTGCTAGTGAGGTGTTCGACGTTGTCCTTGGCTCCGCTGACCATGCGATAGATCCATGGTGCCTCCGTTAGCATGCATGTCTTAGAAGGGAAAGCTGAGTTGTTTCATACTGCTACTGCGGGTCTCGGATGATTCGGTAGGAATATCCCTCGACTCTGCTTCTGTATGCAGATTCGTCTGGGTTGAGGGAGGTGATGGTGGTGTAGTCCTTGGATGTGGTGTCTCTGTGCCTCCCATACGCTCCTCGAGTGCCTCCAGCCGATGGCCCAGGTGGTGGAGCTCGGAGCTTCGAGTAGTTCGAGGCTTTCTTGTCTGCGGATATGAGCATACAAGGCCGCTATCTAAGCACCTTTTACATTCGGGTTCTCTTCTGTCGCATCGCAGCTAGACCCCATCAGCAAGCCTTATGGAGGGTCTGCAAAGGGGAAGGAAGAAGCGCAAACCTTCCTAGTTCTGCATCTCGCGCACTACAGTATAGTACATCCAGGATATTAGCAGGTCGTTGGATTATGAATTAGGGACTCGACAAGGGGATTCGGGGCTTACCGACAGCTTCATTCGAGTTGAGGGCCTGTAGTGGTACATTCCGGGAAGACTATGAGGGCAAGTGAATGGATGCATTTCCCAGGCAAGCTCGGATACGTTCGGACATTTATAAATCCATCAGGCCGAGCCAAGCCAAGCAGGACAAAGCCCCGGCTTATCACAAGATTCCGCACCTGATGCATGAATTCATCATGAATTCATCATCCCCGAGTTCTCAGTCATGGGGAACTCGGTCAAAGACTGCCCAAAGTTGATCCCTGAACATCATCTATGCAGGCAACAGAGTGTATCCAGATGGTTTATGTGTGCCAAGGAGAAGTACATGTTAGGTTAGACCCCCCTACAAAGTATCTAGTATATAGCCTCGAATCAGAACCTCACGTGTTGTTCTGGTTAGGCATCGAAGTTGGAGGACTCATCACTGCGAAGCCAGCACATGGCCACTCCCTTGTAACACTTAATTGGCAGCTCGGTGTTTCGGATTCAGATAAGTCCCAAAGGCCGAGCGGATGAACCTTGGCTAGTGTGAGCATACTTTTTGTATATCTTGGAATCTCCACTCCGTCCCAAGATGGTCCCCGCCGGTTCCCGCGGAGTCCGAACTTGTCTGATCAGCCACCATCCTGCCCGGTGGGAACTTCTTCATTCCCTCACAACAGACTTTCACTGGGTCAAAAGTGTGTCAAAGACCGAGTCCGACCGCAGGATGCCTACCTGCTGTGACTCGTGTGGAATTATAAAACTACTTCGTGCCCCTCAGGGGCCTTAGATAGATAGATTTGGTGAGTATGCAATAGAATTCGGTTCTGCAGCAGGAATGGATTCCAAACCGGCCGATGATCGGCTCGCAGCCCTAAGCGGCATCCGCCAACCAACTCGCCCGCGTGCCAGCAGTTGCGACTCGGACTCGGACGAGAAAGCGACTCTGGCCGAAAACCAGGGAGAGGATCGTGATCTCACTCATTTGGCTCGCACATTGAGTGAGCGATCCAAGCTGTCACACCACCCACTGCCCTTTAACAGAAATGATCTCGTTCTGGATCCACACAGTCCGCGATTCAACGCCAGAGCGTGGGCGAAAGCCTTTTACGATCTTCGCTACAAGTCCGACAACAGCGCCCCGGCACGCGTGGCCGGTGTCGCCATGAAGAACCTGAACGTGGTGGGATATGGAAGTCCGGTTGACTATCAGATGAGCGTGGGGAATGCGATGCTGAAGGTGCCAACCCTCATCCGCCAATTCCTGGGTGGGAAGAAGAAGAGAATCGAGATTCTTCGTGATGTCGACGGCTTGCTTCTCCCTGGGGAACAACTCTGTGTTCTAGGGCCTCCTGGTTCCGGCTGCTCGACCTTCCTCAAAACCATTGCTCAGGAAACATATGGATTCCAGGTCGACCCGGCCTCGTACATCAACTACCAAGGGATTACCCCCAACCAGATGTCAGCCGACTTTCGCGGGGAAGCCGTCTATACAGCCGAGGTGGATGCTCACTACCCGCAACTGGTGGTTGGAGACACTCTGTACTTCGCGGCCCTCGCCCGTGTCCCTCGTCAAGTGCCTGGTGGAATGTCTCGCCAGGAGTACGCCACGCATTTGCGAGATGTGATCATGTCAATCTTTGGGATCAGCCATACGATTAACACCAAGGTGGGGAATGACTTTGTGCGTGGCGTCAGTGGCGGTGAGAGAAAGCGAGTTACCATCGCAGAGGCCGCATTGAGCTACGCTCTATTGCAGTGCTGGGATAACAGTACGCGAGGTTTGGATAGTGCCAACGCAGTGGTCGGTACACCCCAATGGCTACTCTAGGGTATAATACTGAGCAATCCTTGGTGGTATAGGAATTCTGCCGGACATTACGCACGCAGGGCGATGTTTTCGGGGTGACCTCGTGTGTTGCCATCTACCAGGCACCCCAGGCGGCCTACGACGTAAGCTAGCTGAACACTCATATGCATCAATTCTGACTAACGGGCTAATAGCTTTTCGACAAAGTCACCGTTCTGTACGAAGGACGACAGATCTACTTCGGCCCTGCCCAGGCAGCCAGGGATTATTTCATTCGCATGGGATTCATATGCCCCGAGGCACAGACAACTCCTGACTTCCTGACCTCCATGTCGAGTCCTGTTGAACGCGTCATACGTCCAGGATATGAGAACCTTGTGCCTAGAACGTCCGACGAATTCGCCAGACGATGGCATGAAAGCCCTGAGCGCCAGGCTCTTTTGCATGACATTGACCAATATGTGGACGCACACCCATTCCACGCTTCGGACCTTGATCAATTCGCATCCGCTCGACAAGCGGAGAAGTCCACGAAACAACGGCGAAAGTCTCCATACACATTGTCCTACTGGGGCCAGATTCGGATTTGCCTCTGGAGAGACTTTCAGCGACTAAAAAACGATCCGAGTGTGACTCTCGCCATGCTGATTGGTAACTTCTTTGAAGCTTTGATCATTTCCAGCGTCTTTTACAACCTTGCAAATGACACATCGTCCTTCTTCTCTCGGGGTGCCCTCCTCTTCATGCTGGTCCTCCTGAGCGCTTTTTCCAGCATGTTGGAAATCATCGTTCTGTACGAGAAGAGGACCATCGTCGAGAAACACAACCGATACGCCCTCTATCACCCAAGTGCCGAGGCCATCTCATCAATGATCATAGACATGCCTTACAAAATCGTGAACTCGTTGCTTGTCAATCTGGTGTTGTACTTCATGGGAAATCTCCGACGGACACCGGGGGCATTTTTCTTTCTGTACCTGATCGCATTCTCGATGATGATGGGCATGTCCATGTTTTTCCGGTTCTTTGCCTCCATTACGAAGTCGCTCGAACAGGCTCTCGCGCCCTCATCCATCATTCTTCTCGCCCTCGTGCTGTATACGGGATTTGCTATCCCTGTCAACTACATGCGAGGCTGGGCCTCGTGGATCCGGTGGCTGAATCCGGTCTCGTATGGCTTCGAGGCTGTGATGGTGAATGAGTTTCATGGCCGGGAGTTCCCCTGTGCCTCCTTCATTCCCTCCGGACCAGGGTACGAACATGTTTCCAGCCAAGAGCGGGTGTGTTCGACTGTGGGAGCGGTTCCGGGGTCCGAGGTCGTCCAAGGTACCGCATTCGTGCGTTCCTCGTATGGATACGAGAACAGTCACCGCTGGCGCAACTTCGGGATCATCCTTGCCCTGACCATTTTTCTGGCTGTCTGTCACCTCGTCACCTCTGAACTAGTTTCTAGTCAACGCTCTCGAGGCGAGGTGCTCGTCTTCCGGCGCAACAAAGTGCAGAAGGCTCTGTCGGTGCAGAATCAAGAGGATGAGGAGCAGGGGCCTGGTCCCGTGGTGCAAAGTGACAAAGCCCCCAGCCAGGGGTCGAGAACTATCTCTGGAGTCGAGAAGCAAGCGTCAATCTTCCACTGGGAGGACGTGACCTACGACATCAAGATCAAAGGCGAGCCACGGCGCATTTTAGATCATGTTGACGGTTGGATTCGGCCGGGTACTCTGACAGCGCTCATGGTAAGCAGTCATACCCCACCCCCCATCGTACCCTGTCGCCAAACTAACTATGTTGAACAGGGTGTCTCTGGTGCCGGGAAAACGACTTTATTGGACGTATTGGCGAGTCGCACGACGGTGGGTGTCATTGGTGGCAATATGTTGGTGGATGGTCGCGTTCGAGACGAATCCTTCCAACGTAAGACTGGCTATGTGCAGCAACAAGATCTTCACCTCCACACCTCGACGGTCCGTGAAGCCTTGGAGTTCAGCGCCCTGCTCCGACAGCCACCCCAGTACAGTCGAACTGACAAGCTCGCGTATGTTGAAACTGTCATTGACCTTTTGAACATGCGGGAGTATGCGGATGCCATCGTGGGGATACCAGGAGAGGGGCTCAACGTGGAGCAGCGCAAGCGATTGACAATTGGAGTGGAACTGGCTGCGCGGCCCAAGCTGCTGCTTTTTCTAGATGAGCCAACCTCGGGGCTGGACAGTCAGACCAGCTGGTCTATCTGCAACCTGATGGAGACCCTGACCAAGAATGGACAAGCCATTCTCTGTACAATCCACCAACCGTCTGCCATGCTGTTCCAGCGCTTCGATCGACTGCTTCTACTGGCCAAGGGGGGCAAGACGGTGTACTTTGGGGAGGTGGGAGAAGGATCGCAGGTCCTTATGGACTACTTTGTTCGCAATGGAGGATCAACCTGCCCCCCGGGGGCGAATCCAGCAGAGCACATGCTGGAGGTCATTGGGGCTGCGCCAGGAGCGCAGACGGAGATCGATTGGCCTGCGGTCTGGAGAAACAGTCCCGAATATCAAGATGTGCAGAAGGAACTGGCCAAGCTGAGGGAATTGGCCAACAAGCCTTCGCCGCTCTCCGATCCAAATAACAAGTCCAGCTACGCCGAGTTTGCGGCGCCTTTCTTCCAACAGCTAATTCAGGTCGCCCGTCGGGTCTTTCAGCAGTACTGGCGCTCGCCTTCTTACATCTACTCCAAGATGGTGTTGACTGTTGGCTGTGTAAGTCTGAACCCTTGGACAACCTTGGATGGTGGCAATTGACGACTAATCGCATCTTTGCATTGCACAGGCGCTCTTCATCGGGTTCTCCTTTTTCAAGGCAGACAACACTCGACAAGGGCTACAGAACCAGATGTTTGGCGTCTTCGTTTTTCTGTTCGTCGTTGTTCAGCTGGTGATGCAAATCATCCCATCCTTCGTCACGCAGCGCACGCTCTACGAATCGCGCGAGCGGCAGTCCAAGACCTACGCATGGCAAGCCTTCATTCTCTCCAACATCGCGGTGGAGTTCTTCTGGAATACGGTCCGTCCATTGTGTATCAGGTCCTGCCTAGTATAGTCACTAACCACCTCGTTCAGATCATGGCAATCTTATCCTTCCTGGTCTGGTACTACCCCGTCGGCCTGTACCGTAACGCGGAATATACCGGCGAGGTTCACACCCGGGGGACGTTGACTGTGCTCATCATCTGGGCCGTCTTTCTCTTCTCGAGCTCGTTCGCGCACATGTTGATCTCCGGGATGGATAGTGATCAGCTGGCATCAGCACTGTCCAACATTTTGTTCATTATGATGTATGCGTTCTGCGGCATCCTGGCGGGTCCGGATGCTCTTCCCGGCTTTTGGATCTTCATGTACCGCGTCAACCCCTTTACCTACCTCGTCTCCTCCCTGCTATCGGCAACCTTGGGCGATGCCCCCATGCATTGTGCCGATAACGAAGTCCTCTCCTTCTTCGCTCCCTCCGGAATGAGCTGTGGCGAATACATGCAAGATTATCGCTCCGCCCATGGGGGCTATCTTCTCAATCCTGACGCCCGAGGCAGTGACGAATGCAATTTTTGCAGTTTAGAGTACACCAATCAGTACCTGGCCAGCCTGAATATCAACTTCGCCAACCGGTGGCGCGATTTTGGTCTGCTGTGGGTGTATATTGTGGTCAATACCGTTGGAGCCATTGCGTTCTACTGGATCTTTCGTGTCCCTAAGGGAAAGAAGGCGGAGAAGGAATGATTTTGAGGCCCTTGTTCCACTCCATCTAGTTCATACTCTTCGCACCAGTGTCTATGGACTGATTCTTAGGACTCATTCTGCTGAATTGAGTTTTGTTCTTCTCTGCGGGTCATATCGCTAGTACACATTAACACCTTATATATCATCCAGTGCTTTGCGTGGTTTGTTATCTGGAGGGGATCAGAATAACTTAATAGCTAGACTACATCCAAGCTCCTCATAGGCTTCCACCCTATGCATATTCCTTTTCTGATAGAGCCTTACTTCACCCAAAGCTTAATCCACGAGCCTTGATACCCTGATGACGTGTCCCGCCACTTCCTTTCGGCGCCGGAGTCCAATGGGGTGGAGATACAGGGGTCATGCCCATCTGGCTCGGCCTGTGACTTCGATTTGTGCGTTCAGCCTTTCTTCTCGCCATCCTCCAGCGGTATCACAACAAACCAGGCAGATCAAAGACAATCAGCCACTTGTACCGCAGCACGACATTCATCATGGTCAAAGAGACCACTTTTATCGACACGCAAGACGGACTAAAGGATCTCGCCGACTTTATAGGACGGCACCATGGAAGCGGCTACAGGCATTACTCTGACGTTCTTGGACCGTCATTGCGTATACACTAGCAGTTGTCTTCCAATACCTCGCCCTAAAGCTCTGTGAACATGAAAAGAAACCAAACAGCCCGTGTCAGCAAGTTGCTGACTGAAAGCTGCCCCGCATTCCATGGCGTGATTTAGTGGGATTTAGCGTCTAGTAGTTTCTCATCCTTGCAAAAGACATCACATGTCATCTCCTCAGTTCTGCCGGCTTTTCTGCAGAACCAGTCAGCCACAGCCATGCAAGCAAAGTCTGGGCGTCAACGAGCGCGGACCACTCGCTCGAGAACCGGCTGTCGAACTTGTCGGTAAGTAGTTCGATCCTCTGACGCGGGCCACTGACCGCGGACCATATCGTCTTTGTTCTCAACATCACTCCTCAGAGCCCGCCGGATCAAATGCGACGAGACGCCAGGGAAATGCCAAAATTGTACGATAGCGGGCTGGCCCTGTGAGGGCTCGGATCTCAACCGCTTACCGGGCAAAGCGACGTATAGCGCCCAGGACGCGGCACTGTTGCCGTCGGTGGCGGCGCAGTTCCCTTGGACTATCACATCCGACGAGAAACGCTGCCTCTCCTTTCTCTGGCATCATCAGATCCCCGACTCGGTGGTTGTGTCGGGGGTGTCCGACCTATTCTCGCCGCAGAACCTTGTCGGCCAACTGAGCGCTGTCGAGCCGGCCGTCTACCATGCCCTTGTAGCCCTAAGTGCCATCAATCACCAGGTGCATGAAGCAGGGATTGCAATTCCCGGACAGTCGCTGCGTAGTAAATGGCATCACTTCGCCCTGGAGCAGTCGCTGCGCTCATTTTCTCTTCTGAAGCACCGGCCTGCCTCCCAAGATCCACGTCTTCGCCAAGTGATTCTGATCTGCTGCCTGCTTTTCGTGCTGACGGAGCTGGCGTCCGCCCGCTACGACGACGCCAACACGCACCTGCAAGCGGGGCTGAAGATTCTGAACGAGAGGACGCTGTCTTCTTCACCCATAGACCCAGCCCTCTCCGACGCCTTCCTCTACCTGGAATCGCACCCAGCGTTTCACGGAGTCCACCGGCCCTTCCGCGACCTGGACACCCAATTCGCCCGGCTCGAGACCTTCGAAGCCCAGCTGCAACCATTTCGGGATGTCGAGCACGCGCGTCGGGCCCTCAACCCTCTCGTGCCTACCATCTTCCGCCTCCTGGAACAGTGCTGGAGCCTGTCCGAGACCGACCTCGCACGCCAATACGGTGTCTTGCAGCCCAAACAACAGCGCCTGCTGTCCTGTCTCACCCAAGTCAGATCCTACTTCGACGACTTCCTGACAACGGATCCTTACTTCACCGACCGCGAGCGACGCTCGGCCGACGTGGTGCAACTGAGTCTGCAGACCTTCACTTTAACCCTGAAGACCTGTCTGCAGGGCCCGTGGGATCCTGCATTACACCCACTGTGCCCGGAGTTCGAGGATCTGATGACGAGGAGTGTAGCGCTGAACGTGCAAATGGGGACGCGCCCGCAGTTTACCCCGGATGGGATCCTCTGTGCTGCCCTTAGTTTCCTGGCGCTGCGATGTCCGGATTACCGCATCCGTCTGCAGGCTATCGCTGCACTCCGGGCGTCTCCCCGCGCAGAGGGGTACTATAACGGCCTAGTGGTGGCGGAATTCGCCATCAGTGGATTGAAGCTCGAGTTGACCCAATCCACGTCGGGATCGATCAAGCAAGATACCGGGCAGCAACGGCTACGGTTCGAGAAATCGCCATGTCCTCGAGGCAGAACCGTGGAGGAGCTTCTCGGTCTGCAGCAGGATGAGCACTTGCTGGGGTCAATTGCGACCCTGCGAGGCGCCTCGGATTGGCTGTCGAACCAGTCGGGCGGGCAGGTCCAGACGGAGTGCTCAGAAATCGGTGGGCATCGGGTCTGGTATCTCAACAGGTCGAAACCTGAGAGGGTGACGCGGGAAGAGGGAGCCAGATAGCGGCCGTGGATGTATAGGACTGACCACGGAACGGAGCCTCTCGTAGTGATACAGTGAATTCAGATAGCGCTAAGGATATGTACATGCTTCCAACGCAAACGTCTAATCAGTCTTTTCTTCATCGCGTCTAGATTGCTACTTTTACGCCGACTTGGCAACCTCACCCTTGACCCAGGCCTCCAGACCGCCAGCGGCGATGATCGCCTGCACGTTGGCGGGCAGCTCGCCCACCGGCTCCGTCCAGCTCTCTCCGCCCTCACCCTCCTGCACCTCGACCTGGCTGCGCTTGACGTCCCACGTCAGGGTCCAGCCAGTGCGGCGGGTGGGCTGGCGCTCAGCACCGGACGGCTGAGCGAAGGTGGCGCGGAGGCGCTCGACGAGGCGGGGCACCTCGAGACCCATCAGGGCGTTGTTGATACTGTTGCGGGAGAAGATGTTGCCGAAGCTACCAGCAACAACCAGCGGGATCTGCTTGGCCAGGATGGCGGTGGCGGCCTGCTCGCGGGAGGATCCGCAGCCGAAGTTGAAACCGGCGACGAGGATGTCGCTGGGCTTGGCGACGTCCTTGAACTCGGGGTCGTAGTTCATCATGCAGGCGCGGGCCATATCCTCCTTCGAGACGTTGTCCTGGTAGGTGAGCTTGCCGGGGTAGATACTGTCGGTATCGAGGTTGTCGGCGTCGCAGAAGACGATCTCGCCACTGATACGCTCGGGGAAGCCGGGCAGGATCTCGGTGGCGGCCTTCTCCGTCGAGCCTTGGGCGGTCTCCACCCGGTCGATGAAGGACTCCATCTGCTCCAGGAGGTTGGTGAGCTGCTGCTCGGTGGTGGGCTCCGCACCGGTGCCGAAGCCGTGGTCCACCCCCAGCCACTCCTCCGGGGGCACCTGGAAGGTGCCGGGGCCGGAGATCATGCCGCTAAGCGCACTGGCCGCGACGACCTCGGGGCTGGCCAGGTAGGCCTGCGCGTCACGCGAGCCCATGCGACCCTTGAAGTTGCGGTTACTGGCACTGATGCCCACCTCGCCGGGCTCCAGAAGACCGGTTCCGAGGCCGATGCACGGACCGCACCCGGCGGGAAGCGGCTGCGCGCCGGCATCCAGCAGGATCTGCCAGTCGCCAGTGGATTCGGCAGCCTCCTGCTCGGGAGCGGAGGCGGCCGCGATGTAGAACTTCACGCCGTCGGCGATCTTCGGGGTGACGTCGCCGTTCGCTTTGGCTGCGGTGCGGAAGACCTGCGCCGCGGCGGCAATATCTGAGGCGCGGGAGTTGGTGCAGGAGACGACGTAGGCGCGGTTGACCTTGATGTTCTTGGCGGCCAGCTCAGCCAAGGGGGTGGCAACCTTGACGGAGTTGGGGCCGGAAACATAGGGAGAGAGAGTGGAGAGGTTGAGGTACAGCTGCTTCGCATACTGGGCATCGGGGTCCGCGGTGAGGGGGTTGGCGAACAGCTCCTCGATTCTCTCGTGCGTGATGCGCTCGCGAGTGGAGCGGTCATCAGACAGGGCGGCGACGGTCGCCTTGTACCGGAGCCAGCGCTTGAGGGTGGTGTCGATGGGGAAGAGACCGGTGAGCGCTCCCCACTCGGTGGTCATGTTGGCAATCGTCAAGCGGCTGTCAACGAGCAGGCTGGCCATGGTCTCCTCGGAACCAGTGAACTCAATGGCGTGGTTCAGGACGTCGCTCTTGAAGAGACCACACAGCGCCACAATCACGTCCTTGCCGGTCACACCCACGGGGAGCGTGCCCGTGAAGGTGACCTTGGCCACGGGGGGGATCTGCCACCAGGTGCGCGAGGTCGCCCAGATACTGGCCGCGTCGGTGCGAACCACCGCGGTTCCCAAGCAACCGACACCACCGTAGTGGTTGCTGTGACTGTCGGAGGCGACGGCCATTGTGCCGGGCCACGCGTATCCTTCCTCCACCATCACTTGGTGTCCAATACCCCGTCCTGCAGGATAAAAGTCGATCCCGTGTTTGCCGGCAAACTCCTCGATTTGCTGATACTTCTTGAGATTCTGGGGGCTGGTGTTCTGAACGTCGTGGTCGAGGGTCATGACGATCTGCTTCGGGTTGTGTACCTTGGTGGCGCCCATGGACATGAACTTGAGAGCCACAGGCCACGAGTTGTCATGCGTCATGCAGTATCCGGGAGCCAGACTGATGTAGTCGCCACTGCGAACGAACTTTCCGGGGGGGAGACCGACGGCATAGCGTTGCACGATCTTCTCGGTCAGGGTCTGCGGTGTACGGGTCTCGGAGGGCGTCGTCGAGGGGGCCTGCTCTTGCTGCGAGTGGAAGCCCTCGGCTCTAAAAATGGGGGTCGTGCTCAAGGCGCGAATGGAGCGAGGGGGAAGTGAGGTGGCGACAGATCGTGGGGGGAGGGGGAGGGCGATTCTCCTGCTGGAGGCCCCGAGCGACGGAGTACACCGAAGCCGAAGCTGGAGGGAGGAGGGAGTCAGATGAGGTGAATCTGGGAGTCAAGGAAGGCTTAGCGACTCACCGGCCGACGCAGCAAATTGCAGAGCTGCCTCGCCATGTTCTGGTTCAATGTTATCGATTGAACACGGGGAAAGAGAGGATATGGAGGAGAAGAAGGAGGAAAGGAAGGATTGAGTCACTTCAAGAATTTTCCCGGTTGGCCCTGGCGCCGATCTCGCAGGGGCGGACAATGCGAGGGCGAGAAGCGCAGAGCCCCGTCACGTGGTCTGGGGTAATCCCAGCCAGTCGCGCCACGGCATTTCTAAGCACGGCTCAGTCACGTGTGGCTACGCAGTGTTGCCTGAGGCCGCTATCAGGGCGCATGACTCATTCCGATAACTAACGGGCTTATAGACTTTTATTATACAGTGTACATGAACTACGGTTACATCGAATCACTATATCAAGCATCTTCTCCATAACCCCAGGACCCTATGCAAGCGATATCGAGGAACTCGGAAATCGCTTCTGCAGTTCCTCGAAGATATCAGCCGCACTAATGGCATAGGTGGTAAAGTCCTGGTCATCTTGGGCCACGATCATGGCAAACAGGGAGCCATTGTCTCCCCCATCCACCACCCACGCTCCAACATCCTCCGCAAAGGAAACCATACTCAATTGATACGCAACGGGAGGATCTCTCGCGGCGACTGACAGACTACTCAATCTTCCAGACACGTCGGTTCGGACCGGGGGGCGAGCGCCGTGTCCCAGCAAGCACCACAGCTGGCCTCGGGGCGAGCTTCGGGTGACCTTGGATGGTGAGAGCACTTGCCATTCCCCGACCGTGACACGATTGGACTGGGGGGTTTGATCGCACAGTCGGAATAGAGCCCAATCCTGTCGAACCGACCAGAAGGCGGGGTTCAATTTCCTCGTACCTTTGTAGCGGGGCAGATAGGCCACCGCGTGCGGGCCCTCGCGGTCCAGGGCGTTGTACATCGCGCGGGACCGGAACGAGGCCCAACGCTTTTTGTGCTGGTTGGAGGAAGGTTTCAGAAATGGATGCAGAGCAGTCAGCGCATAGTACTCGCCATCAATCGTTACAGTGCCTCCAATGGTCGCTGTCTGGTCGGAACCGCGTCCAACCCTGACGCGAGTACCACACAGGCTCTCTCCCTTCCATGAGTCGACTCTGTAACCCATCTCGGAAAGTGGTGTAGTGCGTGGCATGCGCGGTATTTTGGTATCTCGGTATTCTGGTATTTTTGGTACTGTGTCATTGATTCCAAATCTAGATCGGGTCTATTTATGCATGTTCGGATCTCATTGCCCTTTGTTGCGGTCCGGTTGCGCAAGATGCGGAACCCAACAATAGCCAGCCGTCGCTTTGTCCCCGTCACCCTGGTTTCTTTATATCTACCCGGAGAATCCATCCTCCCACTTTCAACCGCGCATGGTCTTGACGGGCAATGAATCTTTGAAAAGACTTGATGATTCCAGCCCTACTATTAGAGCGACAACGTTGACTGTTCAATAACCTAACGGATGATGACGTCCAGCACCGCCGACGTGGCCTCCTCCACCACAACCCTAATCGCCTCAGTAATAGCTTCATCCAGCTGGCCTACGCACTCCACACGCTTCGCCCACAGGTTTCCGTTAGCTGCAGCCTTAGCAATGCCCCCATAATCGGGCCCATCCGCGACGAGAGAAATTCCCAACTCTTCTTTCGACAACCCAGCCGCAACACCGGTCGGGTGTACATCCTTCAAGCATTGACTGGTGGCATTCCACCCTCCATTGTTCAAGATAATGGTCACGAAGGGGCACTGGTAGCGGTGACTGGCCCAGAAGACGGCCGTCGGAACCGAGAATACAAAGCTTCCATCGCCCGTGATGCTGCACACGAAGGGACGGGGCTCTGACGACGGGTCCCCCGCAGCCTTCTGCTGCACCACCGGTCGGTTGGACAGGTCATATCGCGTCGCGGCCAGCTGTACCCCGATTGCAGCGCCGCCCGCCCAGCCCAACCCGCTGCCTCCCTTGGTAAGATGCGAGCCTGGTCGGTGCAGACGGAGCTGTTCTGTCATGGCTACCTGGTTGGTGACTGAGTCGGTCACAAAGACCGTCTCCCGGGGCAGCAGGGCGCGGACGCGACTACACAAATAGTCTACACTGCAGGGCACATCCGGCGTCGACAGCAGTGCGGCCCCACGGGCATCGACCTGTGCCTGGCCCTTATCGTATGCTGCCTTCCGGGCCTCGGCGCGCGCTTGCCAGCGTGGACTGGGTCCCAACTCGGACAACTGAGCAGAGGCAGATATGTAAGCAGTGAGCTGACTCAAAGCGGCTGCCGTGTCGGCGTGGAAGGTGAGAGACGCATGGATATCGAAAATATTCATGCGTTCTTTTCGCGGGTCGAGATCGATGTGGATGATCTGGGCGGTGGGAGCAGGGCGTACGCGCGTGGGAATCCACGGCACATCAGCGTCCAGCACTAGAATCACGTCGGCCGATTGCACTGCCGGAGCTGCCCCCGTACCTCGCGTCACACAGGCTGGATGGGTGGCGGGGAAGCTCATCTCACGAAGCTCCGAGTCGAACACCCGCAGGCCGGAGATCATATCGGCTAAGTTGACCAGCTCTTGGACGGCACGGTGATTGCGACCCAAGTACCCGGTGATCACCAGCGGGGCTTGCGCATTGAGCAGCGCTGTGCTGATTATCTCCACTTGCTCGGTAGGTAGGGAGCCCAGGTGACACGATGGTACAGCCTTACACCGCAGAGCATGGTCGCCAGAAGGCAGCGCAGTGGCGAGAATCTCCCGTGTCGCCGTCAGGTAGACAGGCCCCGGGGAGCCTGTCGTGGCCATCAGCACTGTGCGACGCACCACAGTGGACACATTGTGCGGAGACTTGATCTCAGCACTGTATCGGCTGTACGGCGCCACGAGCGCAGCCTGATCGCGAATATCTTGGTACCACTGCACATGCTCCGATCGCGAGCCCGGAGCCTCCCCGAGAAAGGTGGAGGGGGCAATCCCTGCCAGAATCACCACGGGGGCTCGCCCGCTGGATGCATTGTGCAGCCCCTGGCCCAGAGCGGCCGTCCCCACGTCAACGTGGACAATCACACACGCTGGCCGGTGACTGATTCGTGCGTACCCATCGGCCGCTGACATGGCTACAAACTGATAGTTTGCCCGTCAGTACATGCATGGAATATCTCGTCAGTGGGGAGCAGTAGCTGACCTCATGCTGAAACAGAATCATCTTGGGATACTGCCGTGTGGGATCATTCTGTCGGCGCACATATGCCTCGATAATACTGGGGTGATCCGATCCCAGTACGGTGAAGAGGTAATCTACGCCTGCCTGGTCGATGTCAGTGTGGATTCAATTTCACCCTTGGTGGCATGCAGTACCTGGGCCAGAGCTTCTAACAGCTCATCTGCCACGGTCGGGTCAGCTCGACTTTCTGCTTGGTTATTCTGAGACATGTTGGTACTCAAGATCTCTGAAAGAAGAAACAATGATCTTTTTTTTCCTGTTCTTCTGCCTTTCTCTCAATGCCTCTTATCCCTGCTAACAGCGTTCGGCAGATATGTAATACTCTCACCCGGGGGCATATCACACACCCCCACCGATAGCAGGCCTGGATTTCCCATTGTGAATAATCATTGAGGGAATGAAATTGGCCCGCGAGATGAGTGGAGCCCCGATGGATCAGGCCATGGCAGCGCTAGGGAAGAGATGGTGGTTTGAACCCCCTGTCAAAGCAAGCACTTAGGGCTCGATAGGCCGGGCTAACCCGGCCGCTCTCCACTCCGATCCACCCACCCCGTGGCGCTATCGAAAGCCTTCTGAGACACTCAATATGCACCACAATCTGCTGTGCGGTGAATCTGCCATCTAGGCGTTAGCCTAGGCGACTAAAGCACCCCGTGGCAATACCAGCAAGAGTGTCTCGTTACAGCTGGAAGGTGGGGGAAAACAAAACACCAAAAAAAAGGATTAAAAAACAAAAAGAAAGATAAAAAAAAAAGATCTAGAATTAGGAACTGCTACAAGCAATTTCAACATATCCTTGCTGGTCTCTTTAATACCGGTCCTCATTTTGGTGCCGGTTCACTGTGCATGTCAATTGCGGTAGTGAGAATGATCTGGCCTTTGGCAATGGCTCCCTGGCTTCCGACGCTCTCGGAATCTGCATCGGGATCGTGTCTCTCCACCCGCCATTCTTGGCCGAGCTGCGTGCCCTCCTGGGACTCCAGTCGGCTCATGCGATAGCTCCGCCCCGTCCTGGTTCTGGTGGCTCGACTGCGCGACTTGCGCGATCCAGTCGGAAGCGAAACAAACCAACTGGGAACCAGCTTCTGGGCAGAGTGCTTCAGAAACGGTAAGCAGGCGCAAATAATACCCGTACTTGCCTCGATGGCACTCCACAGCAAGGCATCGAATGAGCCCCAGGTCGGGTCGTGCGTGGTGGTGCTCGCCTCCATCGCCCACATTCGAATGATACTTGTGATGCATACGAACAAGCCCATGCAGAACACCAGCATCACGCCGATCTTGCGGATGCGGTCGAGATGCAGCTGTGCGAGCACAGGCAGCGGCAGCACGCAGACCCAAATGTCCATCGCCGTGTTGTAGCCCGCCCACGACCATCGGAAGCTCGAATTGTCCACACACTTCTTGGGGATACTCTTGTGCCAGCTAGCATGAACCGGAATGCATTGAAAGATGGTCGCGAGGACAAATCCAAAGGTGCTGGAAATGACAAGACCGATGGTCACCCAGCAGATTATGCGAAAGGGTCGCGTTGGAAAGATTCGCAGGTAGAAGGCCAGGAAGCTGAGCTTGTTGAGGCAGAGGACGGCCTTGTACAGAATCTGGAAAAGCCAGAAATACTGCAAAGGGGAACTCGAGTTAGCATCGCCTTGAACATTGAAGAGAATGATCGAGCACACCTTCAGCGCAAGTACCAAATTGCCCCCTGACTGCACGACATCGGCGCGATGACGACCAAAAGCATAGTGACACGCTGCATGGTAGAGCACAGTCAGTATTGGTAGTCACTTCAACGTTCAACGGTTAGGAAGATCAACCCTACCCAAGTCACCCATCACGGTATTCACAATCTGTATGACCTGGTTCTCCTGTCAGCAGAGGCTCCCTCCAGTTGCAACGCAAACCATACCATTGAAATCTGGATGATCACATCATCTGCTGAGATGGCAGTTTGTCTGTACACCTTCCAGATCACCCTATGGGCGACCAAGATGAATGCAATCGCGGTCAAAGCCCCGGTAACCCTGATGAACAGGGGACCCTTATCCGGGACATCGACGGCATGCTCAGTCATAACGCTTCTGTTCGTCTTCCTTCGAGTAGCATGCCAGAAACGAAGAGAACGAGGATGAGTAGGCCTTCTTCATGTAAAGTTCTGTCGCAACCCTAGCAGCAAAGGGATCGAAGGATTCACCTTGTACAATGAAGACAGGGCTGGCGGCTCAGTACGCCAACGCGTGTACTTAGAGAAATCATCTTTTTGCAATATCTGCACTTAATTACTGTCTCGGCACGGGTCCGTCTCCTTCAGCCATGTTACTCCGTGCATGGGAGACTGCATGGCTACTGCGTGCCGGTACTTGGTCTGCGCTGTCTGCTTACCCTGGCTAAACACCTTGTGGAGCAAAGATCGATGACCATTGGTTCTCACTCATGGAGACCAGCCTAATTGCACCATTCAGTGTCATTTATAATCAGATTTACCCCTCTACACTAATGCCACACAATTGTCTCGGGTCTTCATGTGCCGCCAGTGGATAACCTCCCATGCAACAAGGAAAACAGATCATAACTACTCCGTATTTCCCGCTTGGTTCAAGCACATGATGCAAATACTGCAAAATAGCTCGAGTGGACGACACTTGTGCCCAAACACCGTGCTATGGGAGCGCAACGGCTGCAAGAAAATCTCTCTGTTGCACTATAACGATGAGTCCTCAACTGTAGGTGTGGGTCCGGAGGGAGAGGAGAATCGGGGGGTTGTGGACGGGACGGGGGGAGTCCGGACGATTTCCGCGCTGAGGGTCTCCGTGTAAGAACCCTATGTGGTCAATGACCCTGGCGTCTAATCACTTAGTCTAGACTACCTCACTTACTTGGTGGAGTCTGGGTAAATTGTCCGGCGAATGGCTGTCTTCGTCCATCCATTCTTAATTATCCTACCGGGCCGAGTGCTTGAAATGGAGCCACCAGGGCTGACTATCATGCTTAGGGTCGTTTAAGTCCGTCAAGATATATTGCCGTGGGTCCAACGCTCAACACCCACACCACTTCGTTGCACGCACCCAATGAGTAGTCGCAGGCCACATCTTCATCAATAATGAGACGATGAAAAGAAGTCCGGCCTCCAATTAATCAGCCGGAAATTGTCCAGTCACTGTATGATGGCTTGACCTAAACCCTCCCTAGCCACCCCTGACAACTCGGAAATTCCGGCCTGAGTTTCATCTACAAAAGCCGACATGTCGCGCGCCACGTGCATGGGTGTTTGCTTTCTCTTGTAGTTCCACTCTTTCTGCCGACCGTTATCTCCCAAGGCTACACAGGCATGGAGAAGCACGAGATTGAGCCCCGCGTGGTTGAGGCGTCAACGCCAGACTTTGATCCCGCTTTGGAGAAGAAGCTGCTGCGAAAGCTAGACTGGCGAGTCATCCCAGCACTATGGTTTCTCTTTTTGGTGTCGTTTATGGATCGTTCAAACATTGCGTGAGTGCTCAGCTGCGTTCCACTTTACGTTGATGCACCGAATCTTAACCATGGGAGTCCGATGTAGAAATGCAAAGATCGCCGGCATGGCGAAGGAGCTGCACTTGGTGGGAAATGACTACAATCTCGCCGTAACCATGTTCACGGTCGCATATGTCATCTTCGGAATGCCGGCCAATCTGCTGGTCAAGAAATTTGGCCCAAGGATGCTGGTCCTATACATGTTTACTTGGGGTGAGAGCCATCGCTCCAGTCGGGAGGGATGGACTATGCTGACTTGGTGGGTCAACAGGGCTGTTTGTGATGGGACAAGGTCTCACCAAGACTGCGACGGGTCTCATCGCTTGTCGATTCTTTATGGGAATGTGTGAGGCAGGCTTTGTTCCTGGTTAGTTTACACCAGGCCAAGCTACTGGCGATGCATGAAAATTAATCTGACCTTCCAATGCCAGGTTGCGCATACCTGATCGGGAGCTACTACAAGCGGGACGAGTTTCTGCGTCGATACGCAATCTTCTTCAGTGCCAACATGGCGGCAGGAGCATTTAACGGGGTGAGTTTTTCTTATCATGCTTACCCTCAACACGTCTGTCTGACTGGCTCGTTAGCTTTTCTCCAGTCTCTTGACGCACTTGGAGCTGGATGGATATGCAGGGTGGAGATGGTATGGATTCCTTGACCTTGGCGCGCATATCGTCTTTTCTGACGCGAGATTAGGCTGTTTTTGATCGAATCCATCATCACTATGGGCGTCAGCATCATTTGCTACTGGATTGTTGTTCCCTTCCCCGAGGACGCGACATTCTTGACCCCTGAGGAGAAGACATTGCTGCTTGCCCGTCTAGAGGCCGATGGAAGAAGCATTCGTGATGATCCTATTTCTCTTCCTCGGGTCCTCAAGATGGCTATGGACTGGAAGATCTGGATCTGGTGAGCATAGCTATCATGATAGAGATCCGAATCATGCATTGACATAGAGACCAGCGTTTTGGCCTATCTCGCCGCCGAAGAAAGCGCCAGCTCTTTGGTGTACTTCCAGCCCACGATTCTCAAAGACCTCGGTTGGACCAGTCGCTCAGCGCAGGAACACAGCATCCCCGTCTACGCCGTCGCCTTTGTGCTTACCCTGTCAAGCGCGTGGCTGAGTGACTCTCTCCGCCACCGCTATCTTTTCACTCTGTTCGGCTCGGCGCTCGTCATAATCGGCTGGAGTATCGAGCTTGCGCAGGTTCCCTCTGCCGGAGTCCGTTACATGGGCATGTTCTTCGTGGCGTCGGGCGCGTTCATCATGATGTCCATTACTGTGGTATGGTTGTGCATCAACCTCGGCAAGGGCGTCAAGCGCAGCGTCGGAATGGGCTTGCTGCCCGCGTTCGGCAACTGCGGTGCCTTTGTATCCGGCAACGTCTTCATCACCAGCGAAGCGCCCAAGTATCCTACTGGTTTTGGGGTTGGTCTGGCGTTTGCGGTGGTGGCAGGACTCGCCTGCACCGTGTATTTCTTCGCTCTCCGCGCCGAAAACCGCCGCCGGGAACGCCAGCCGGAGAAGGACTGGCAGTCGGAGAGCATGCAGGATCTGGGTGATGCTCACCCGGGCTTTCGTTTCCAGTTGTGAGCTTCATGTGCTGGCGAATAGTCATGTTCAATGGAATTATCTGATATGCAATGAGGCTTTGTCTTTTGGTCCTGTAATAATCTTAACCATGCGCCGATCGACTGAAGTGGCCGTTAGGGTAACTGCATACCAACCCTGCTTTGCGATTCGGTCAACTCGTCGCATAGATCCAACCAAGTCCTTCGCCATGCCCAGTGCGCCCGCATATGCGAAATCTTCATCCGGGTAAACATCCCATAATGTTCCATGGTCGGGCTGGGCCGGACCATGGAACCTCGCGGCGTCCATGACGTCGGAAGCCAAGCCCCAACTTCACCATTCTTCCTCCACATTTTGCCGCCCCTGCATTCCGCATACCTCATTCTTCAGAACTCCAACGAACGAACCCCCTGTCTCGTCGCGCTGGACCGCAATGGTGACCGCTGCCCACTCCAATGATCCCGGTCCCCGATCAATATCTGCGCACCATCAGCTTGCTGACGCAGATCCTGTGCTGCAGCATCACCACCCTCTGCCTGGCTCTGCGCCTGCTGGTGGCTTTCCGGATCAAGCGAGATGTGAACACTGATGATGGTTCGTGACAACTCTTTTCCCGGACTTCTACCCAATCTAATATTGTATACCAGCATTTTGCACTCTATCCTGGGTAAATCACCTCTACCCGCCGCCCACCGTCTCATCACCTCTAACATTGTGCTGCAGGTCCTGTTCTTTACCTACTGCATCTGCAATATCTTTTGTAAAATGCCCATCCACCACCTCGATGGGGTCATGTCCACTAATTGAAGTACGGCAGACCTCCATTATGGCGGCGGCAAACCCCTCGCCCTACTGACTCCCTACCAAATTCGGCTCGTCTACAAGGCAGGCACCATGAATGACCCCCAGGGCCACCCCATCCGAGTGCTCCTCCGCCGCTAACCCTCGTCCGCAGTTCTACTATGTTTTGACCGTCATCTACGCCCCGATGGTCCTCACCGTCAAAATCACCCTGCTCTCCATCCTAGCGCGCATCTTCACCATCCGCCACGTGCAGGTCATCAGCGTCTACTCGGTCTTGGTGGTGACGGTGGTATACTACACGATCATCTTCTTCATCAAGGTCTTCATCTGCCTGCCGGTCTCGTACTTCTGGACTAACTACGACGAGGAAGCGCAATGCCTCAACCGGATGGCGGTGATCCTCGCCGATGCGGTCATGAGCATCGCCACAGATCTGGCCATCATGCTGCTCCCGGCCTTCCTGACCATCAACCTGCACCTCTCGCACGTCAAGAAGCTCAAGGTCTAGCTGATGTTGGGCTGCGGCGGGCTAGCGATCGGGTTCAGCATCTACCGCCTCGTACTGGTCATCCACGAGGAGGATAATCTGGAGTCGACCGTCGTGTTCTTGAAGATTCTGCTGTCGGGGTAGGGCGCTCTACCTTGTCCCCACCGTTGGGAGATACTGATGATACGCAGTAACGCTGAAGGCGGATTCGCCCTCATCTGCTCGTGTGTCCCCGCCATCCATATCCTCATCACCCGCCGCGGAGACACGCAGCGCTCCAGCACCTCCTCCCACCAGCTCTTCCGGCATTCCGTCCCCCCCTCGTTGCCCTTCCATCGGACCCCCGCCAGCCCTTCATTCGCCGAGTCCGAGCAGGCCCGCGTGACATCCACCGCGCAGCGCGCATCGCTGGTCGTCCCCGAGCTGAACGAGCTGGAGATCAGCGAGGAGGGCCCGTCGGACGCGAACCAGATCGTGCGAAAGGTCCTGCTCTCGCGTCGGTCGGAGAGAGTGCAAGTGCCGGTGCTGCGGGACTGCTCGCAGGGGTCCTCGGAGACGCAGCTCGGCAACCAATTCGGAGCAGTTTGACGGCATAGATTGCACCAGGCTGGGCCATGATGAAGGTCACCAATCCAAAGACAGCAATATATAGTGGCGCCTCTCGACAATGCCGGCAATCAATGCCGGGGGAGGTGGCCGCCAGCCAACTTCCGATCTTCGGCACTAATCTATCCTCGTACGTCATTGCCGAGGTGCAGCGGTGCTTGGTGCCTGGCACCTCAGGCACTGCGGAACTCCTAGGCAGTCACTCTGGGCTCATTTCTTGGACATATACATATTCATTTTCAGATTCATATCTCATTGTGTCCTGAGGACTTCAACCAGCGAGGTCCCAAGGCATTGGTCCCGCACAATCTAGCTATACCCCACAATATCCAGTACCGTCCGATCCTGCCCCAGCACCACTCTCGCCTGGCCCTTGCGTGCACGCTCCTGCGCCGACATCCCCCGGAAGATCCCCTCGCGCACTTCATCCAGATACAGCTCGTAAGCCGGCATGTACCCCTTGACAAATGCGACGACCTCCTCGTCCGTCATGCCCTGGTTCTTCACCCGCCGCAGGGCGTGTTCCTGCTGCATGCGCCAGCGGTAGACGTTGGCCAGATCGTCGGTGTCGAGGTGCACCAGGAAGTCCAGGTGCTGGGGCCCCATGAACATGTCGCAGTAGTTACGCAGGCTGGCGTTGATGGTGAAGTAGCTGGACAGCTCGTGGTTCTGCAGGGTTTGCGTGGGGAATCCGGACTCCGAATCTGCCCCTGACGCGGGGGCATGCGCCTTGGCCGCCGTCCACTTGGCCTCGATGGCCTGCTCGCTCAGCGGCTGGAACCCCACGCACCACCCCTCCAGCACGAGCACATCCACTGGCGATTCCAGCGAAACGGGGACGCGGCGCCACTCGTCGCGGGGCACGCGGTCGCCCTCGCCGTTGAAGCGGCTCTTGTCGAATTCGGGGATGCAGACCTCGCTCGGCGAAGTCTCCGGGCTGACGGTCAAGCTGTCGAAAAACTCGCGGACCAGCGCGGTGTCGTGGGTGCCGGGCTGACCGCGCATCTTGAGCAAGGCATTCGCCGGGTTGGTCTGGCGCAGGCGCACCAGGCCCTCGTGCGGCAGGTAGAAGTCGTCGAGGGAGACGTTGATGGTGCGGAAGTGGTGTTTCTCGTTCAGGGACCGCACCATGGCGGAGGTCCAGGTGGTCTTGCCGCTGCCCTGCAGACCTGTCAGGGCTAGGATGAAGGGCTTCCGTTGGCTGGCGGATGAGGCCTGCTGGTCGACATGGCGTTGGATGTGGGGACGGACGTGGGCCAAGAGTCGGTCGATGGTCTGCTCGGGGATCATGGTGGGCGATGGAGAGGGAAAGAAAGTCTGGGGTTGCGAGTGCGGGGAGGGGGGGTAAGGAGGAGGATCGATTCTATATGTATAGAGCAACGGACAAGAAACCAAGACACCTACTCCACCAGCCAAGGCGATCAGTGTTGATGAAATGCGACCGAGGGCAGTTGTTCCTTGTGGTCCCTCGTTGCTCTCTAGTTGTTGTGGCTGGGATGATCACGTGAGTGGGGAGATGGAGGGGAAGCAACGATGAGTCAGCCGTTGGGGGAAAATGACGGAGGAGTTTTGCTCCGGCCCGCTTGCGGAGGTTTCTTTGTCCGCCGGTCTGCCAGTTACGGAATATCACACCTTCACACCTTCACACCTTCACACCGTCACACATTAAAGTCGCCGTGCAGCAACCACGGCCCATCCGCCACACTCCAGCCTTCGTTCATCAAGAACGGGTCCGACAAAGGGACGGCCGTCGCGGACTCCGGGCCCAGACCCAGCCCGCCCATACCGTAGGAAAATCCGGAGCCGGCCAGATCGCCAAACACCATACTAGCGGCGTTGTAGAGATCCGGAGTGGAGAGCACGGCCGTAGGATTGAACGAGGGCGGCGGCGGCATCGGAAGATTGTCCCAGGATTCGGGGGCCATGCTGCTGGGCCGGGACGAGGCATTTTCCCCGCGGAGTCCGATCGGATCTTCGGCAATGCGGATAGCATCGGGACAGTCGCCGGTACTATGATTACTTGTACGATACATATCCTCCGCTTGCGGCACTCGTAGGTCGCTGCTGATCCGGTGCTGGTGCTGGTGCTGGTGCTGGCTGTTTTTGTTGTTATGCTCGAGAGCAGAGCACAGATCCTCAATGGCTTGAATGCAGGTCTGCGGCCACTCGCGTTCCCGGCGGGCAATGTTCTGCAGCACAGCGATCCCAATGCGCCCATAGCGGAGAGCTCCCTCATCAGAGAAGTGGCGGGTCCAAGCGGCGTAGATCAGAATCAGACATGACATCCACACCGTCCAGGTGAAGGAAGCGACGATCAGCGGAGGACGGTCGTCGCCGGGTGCAGCCGTGATGTAGCCATGTAACGCGGCCAGCAGCGAACGGGCGGAATTGATGCAGGTGAGAAAAGCCGCTTTGTAGTCAGCGGTGGTCGGATTGTCGGCGGCCAGTAATGGCCGGTGCAACGCAATCTTGGCCTCGTGGCGGGAAACCACCAGCAGGAGGGAATGGAAGGGTTGCAGCGGGGACGATGCCTCAGGCGGCTCCCCGTCGCATGCCAGCGGATAGACGTCATCATACACCTCATTCCACCACTGCAGAAGGGCCCGATCAACCTCCGCTGCCTCCACCAAGTTCTCTCCACTATGCATAATGGATTTGTTGCGCAGCTCCGAGATCAACCCTCGCAGGCGGGCGAATTTGGCCAAGTGTCGCAGGAGCTTGAGCCGCTGGTCGTCGGGCGTTGGAGCCATCATCACTTCACCACCGTTGTCCGCCGTATGTCGTTCGGCTCCGGGATAGCATACATCCAGGTCGTCATCTCGGATGCTGAGGGGCACCCCCAGGGCTTGATTCAGATATCGCTCGAGACAGTAGATCGACCAAAACAGCCGGCGACGGATCACCACATCTTCCTGGCTGAAGCAGGAATACCGTGCCGGGCAGCGATGCAGACCCAGGTGGAACGCGGTGCGGGTCACAAAGCCTCCGACCCGCGATGCCGCATTGAGGCGTAGAATCGACGTCAGAAACAACTGGATACTGACGGCTGCCTGCAACAAAGGGATGGACGAGGGTTCGTCCAGCAGATCGCGTAGACCATTCATGGCGTCGTGCACCGTCTGGAAGACCAGCTCGGCCGGCATGGCCACCGCCATGGCTGATGCGCCTCCCTGTGCCTGTCGATTGTCAATGGCAGCGATGGACATGACGGAGCGGATGAGCACGGCATCTGTCCGGCTGATGGATCGGATCCCTTCTTGGCTTGTCTGCTCCAGGGCGCGGAGGAGATGCGGAGCATGGATAAAGGGGTAGATCGGATGCCAATTCTGGAAATATGGATGCGACAGTTGCACCAATTGGTCGAAGGATAATTTGGGGTTGGTCAGATCGAGCTCATCGGTCGACCACAAGAGGGCGTGGGCCTGGCCTTGACCGGTGCGGAGGTGGTCATCCTCCCCGGGCACCAGGCTCTCATGGCCGGCACGCGCCTGCTGCTGCTGCAGGTCGGCAGACCGGCGGGCAAAGGCGTGATAGACCGTGCGGACAAAGTGAATGCCACTCGAACTCCCGAGAAAGCTAGCGGAAGTCTCATCCTTACGCATGATGCCAAGCTCGCGGGGGGAGGGCCGCGACGTCCCCGTCGTCGAGGCCCGCTTGCGCCGCTTGGCCCGAGGCGCTGGGGTTGGCCAGTTGCCGTCCACATCGGAGGGCGTGGTGGCTGTTGTTGTGGCAGCAGCAGCAGCAGCAGCAGTAGCAGCAGTGGGGGAGGCAGGCTTCATGCTGATCGGGGATGATGGACGGAGTGCATTAGAGTCGGGCGGGGAAAGATTAATTAACCGACTAACTCCCAGCCAGGAAGCATGTAACTAGTGTAGTTTTTCCCCAACCATTGGAATGCTGAGGGGATTGCGAGACTACGGTCAGGGACAGGACCCAGATCCGTACCTACCGAGAGTCACTTGACTCTACGCAAGGGATTCAGAACTGGAACCCGGTTCAGGGAAGGCAATGGAAACCTTGAATGGAAAGACGCACGTGAGCATTGGAAGTGTGAGTTGAGTTAGAGCCAAACAGGATCTTCGGTGTGGTCTTGCCCAGTCCCGATCAAACCCTAACCAAATTACCACCAGTGTGACCACCCCACGGAGGTGTTCAACTCCGCCCTCCCCCAAGATCCCCACTCTCCACCCGGTTTTACATTATTAATACTTCGGTTCCCCTCCCTCTAACCTGGTTATATTGAACGTTATATTTGCCTCGAAAGTCTGATTTGATTCACACGAGACTAGAAGAGTCCAGCGAGTGCTACTTCTATTCGTGCCATGTGCACCCCCCCCCCCCCCCAAACCCCCCCTACAATCATTCTCATATGTACATACTCAAAGATCCCAGTGTCCAAAAAGCCAATTTACACAGAAGAGCACAGGGATTGTCACGATCCTATCATAAAATGCGTCGTAGTCAATGGTCCGTTACTCTTAAACATGTTCTTTCTGTTCGAAAGATCCTTCCGATTGTTCCTTCTCGTGCTTGTCGTGCTGGTAGAGATCGGCCTCGGTCACCTCGCCTTGAGGCAACTTGCGGGCCATCGACACGATCTTCCACGGGGTGGGCGCATCGCGGAAGGCATGGTCGAGCAGCTCCAGGTTGCGGTTCATGGTCTCCGGGTAGAACAGCGCCACCGAGATGGGGATGCAGGCGGAGATGATCGCATACATCACGTAGTAGCGGTAGCCGATGGTGTCCAACGCCACGGGGGTCACCATCACCACCACAAAGTTCCACAACCAGTGGTTGGCGGTGGACACCGCGCTCATCGCCGTCCGCAGGTGGATGGGCGCCACTTCCGTGCAGTACAGGAAGTTCCCGCCCAGGAAACCGATCGGGTAGAACAGGTTGAAGAGGAAGATGAAGGCCGCCGAGGCAATCGACGCCCCGTGATTCGAGGTGGGGAAACTAGCGGTGATGGCCATCACCGTCAT